TCCATTCCTCTGAAAAAAACTCAATGATATAAATATAGAAATATGTATAACTCAAATGTTTGAATTCCACTTACTCATACAAAATATAAACAAACACCTAGAAAAAGTGACTTTTGTAAGACAATCGTCAATTCTTTATCAGGAAAGTACCTATTTTGGGTTGGAATGAATTACTCCCGGGTTGAGAGAACTCTATTTCTACAAACCTTTGTTTATTTCGATTTTCGTGGCATATTCACAGATATTTCTCGTCGTAATATTGATGGAGTTATAAACACAGACAATAAAATGCTTGACCAATGCCAAAAACGAAAACGATCGAAATTAATGTGCACATAAACAATTTAAAAATACTTACAGAGTACTTCTTAACCCAGATTGCGGACTAATTTGGAGGCACGTTTGTCGTCCTCGTGTCCGTTTATATGTTTACTAGAGAAAAGAAGAGAAAAGTATTATTTATAGACTGAGAACAGTTCATTTATATTAAACAACTCAAAGACAACCCTTTTTCCTTGTTTTTGTTTTTAATGGTTACTTTTATACGTATAATTTTCGGCAATAAACAATTATTGTTTGCATTTATGCAAATATTACGTATTTTGCTTTAAATAGGTGCGGTACCCCAACACATTTTCGCGCCTCCGCCGGGCTTTTCTGTGTGTATTGTATAGTCTTTACGACTTTAGCCTCCCCTGTACTCCAATGCACGAGCCGTCACTGTCTATTCTGCTGATACAAACCACATATTGACTTCTATTTTCAACGTATGATTTTACGATGTTTAGTGTTTTACCTCTTATGCCATATTTTTCAAGTTTATCCAGCAGATTTTTATAAAAAACACAAAAATATCCAGGCAGCCCAGTCCCGCTCTTTGCAAGACCATATAGCCTGCACTTGTTTCTGCTAAAAAGAATAGCCACGCACCAATAAGGCCATCACAACAGTTCACTTTCTATATACCTTTTATATACAAAATTATGGCGATGACAACAGATGAATCATGCGGTTATCTTTGCCATAATAGTACCATCAAGGCCGAATTGACCTCGGAGTAACAGGTGGAGGTAAACCTATTCATTTTAGAATATTTTGTCGATACGAGTGGAAGTCAATAAATAGTAAAATGTGTGTTTTGATTTAAGGGCATTAAATGGACTAAGGACTACTCCAAAATTCATTTTGTTGAATCACGTTTCAAGTCCACCAATACATATCTCCAAGTAATTTGCAATAGGTTTTTGATTTAACGATTCGTGAATAAGTGTATTTGTAGCAGTCATATATTACATGAGGTCAGTAAGATATGCTCCATTCAGATACACATCTGGTATTTTCTGCAAATCTCCGAAATCAAGATATGTTTCATAAAACATTTTAAATATTAGGGAGTTACCTTATTACAGGTTGTTATAAGCAACTTTGTTTTCAGTTTCAATTTACAAAAAAAAAATATATCCTTTCATTAACAAAAATCTCATGCTTTTAGGTAAACAAGTCTTACTTTTTTATGTTTATATTTAAACTGAACGAATAAAACGCTCAAGAACCACAATACAAAATACAGGGTGATTGCACGAAATAATATATCTTTTCATTAACAAAAATCTATGAATTTAATAGTATTCTATTTTCAACTCATGCTTTTAGGTATACAAGTCTTACTTTTTTATGTTTATATTTAAACTAAACGAATAAAACGCTCAAAAACCACGATACAAAATACAGGATGATTGTTGACGAGACTTTCTAAAAGTACACATATTTAAAATCTGAAAATTCAGGACAAGTAATTAATACTCATCCACTGAAGCTGGTGACATCTTTATTATTTCAAATGAAACATCCTGTGCATTTCATGATTTCTGTTCTATTGTGTCCTATCTATTATATATTGGTACCCTGTTTGAGATATTTATATTTTTGGAAAATTTCTTTAATGCAGAAATCTCAGTAGTTTTGAAAATTTTGTCGATCATTTCCAAGCAGAGTTGCGATTTCAATTCAAGCGAACATCATTTAATATTTTGGTATTCAATAATAATTATTCATTCTTCTATAAAATCTCAGTACAATTTGTATATAGTTCCCCATACTTGAAACCAACGGTTAGACCTATTCAATTCGCTAGAAAAAGTATTCAATTTCACAAGGATGCGTTATGAAATTGCTACAGTAAATGAGTTCATCAATTTACTTATTTGATTGAATCGATTTTTTGCAAAGTCGAAAACCAAACACTGTTGTTAAAAAGGGAAACAACTCAAAATTCTGGATTATTTTATATTCAGTGAGTTGTGGCATTTTCTTTTCATTTTCTGGGGATCACCATTTCGGGGATCACTACTGACGAAAATAAAATGAAAAAG